TGTTGATTTCAAATGATTTAAAAATATGTTTTTAAAATGATTGGTGTAAATGTTATTTCGTCAACCAATTTTGTAACCCAATTTTGTACATGTAGCATAACTTTGAATAACATTATTCTATTTTTTAAAGGGTAATTCCATTTATATAATGGATGGTTGACAATGGAAGTTGACAATCTCTCACATGTATGTGTCTCCCGCGTGATTAAAAAATTTCAAAAAAAAAAAGTGGGCCCTCCCATTGTGAGTGTTGGTAATCCAACATTGTAATACTCCATTGTATATGTAGCATAGTTGTTTTTTAAAACTTTTTTATCTTCCAATGAATTTACACCAAATGTTGGTTGTCAAATGTTCCGTCAAACTTCCCCGTTTGAGTTATTTTTTCAGATTTAAAAGGTCAAATATATAGAGTCCGCAGACAACGGCTATTAATATTGGACAGTCACACTCTCCCAGACCCTTCTTTCTCCAACCTCAAAACTATACATATATAATAATGTAAGTATATATTATTATATATAGTAAACAGATGCCAAAAACTAACATGCATATCAAATTCGTTCTTGTTTACCTACAAGTAAAAAGGTCCAGAGTTCCAAGATTCACAGGAGAAATAAGATATGTATAAGAAGGTTCCACGAATCAAGGCCCAAGATCATGTGAGTAGACCCATAAGATAAGGAAACCATACAACTCTCGCTCTCTCTCTCTTTCTCTCTCTCTTGCAGTAGGGTTTAGATTTTCCGAGAAAAGTACTAAAAGATCTCTAGCCTGCTTTGAGGAATTTTCACATTTTTTTTTGTGTTTAAGTTGGTGAACTCGTATGAAAGTTATCATGGAAGGGGAACCAACTAGAAGAAGAAGAAAAAGATGGGATTCTACAACAACAATTGCAGTTTCTTCTTTTTTGTTGCTCTTAATCTTTTCAGAAATTTGTTTATCTTCTTCTGAGAAGATAAGTAAAACTGCAGCAGGTAGTTATAGATTGTTTCCGGCAAGAAAAGCCCGGCTTTTCGACTCTGAGCCGTTTCATGCAGAAGCTTCAAGTCCATCCCAAAGTTTGAGTCCTGAAAACAATGGGAGTTCTTCAGACAAGTTGTATGAAGAAGAAAAGAGATTAGTACACACAGGGCCCAACCCTCTTCACAACTAAGTGACAAAATGTTATGAGGGCTTTGCTACTATCAATTCTAATGACTAGTTTTAGAATTCAACTATGTAGTTCTTTCTGCTCAGTCTTCATTTCTGTCTTCTTTTCTTTCTACTGAATTAGAATTAATTGTAGCAGGGCTTGTAGCTTTTTCAGTGCTTGTTTTAAATGAGGTTATGGACAGTCCAGCAAAGTTGAGTGGCCAAAAAAATAAAGGAGGAAGCAAAATAAGGACTAGATGCAGGTGTTAATGTTCTTGCTTTGCAGCTTCTTGTACCTTCTGTTAACATTACTGCTCTTGTATTAATTGCTGTAGTTACTGTTTTCATCCACTCATATCTTTTTTGGTAATATTTTTCATTTCATTCTTTGCTTTTGTGAGCTCTTTTTTTTTTTTTTTTTCCATCCCAAAAAGAACCGACCTATTAAAAACAGTTGTTACTGTTAAAAGAAATATACAGACGTATATATCCATAATAATAGTGCCAAGGAACAACAAACAAGTTTAACTTCTGAGGGACAATATTGACTTTTCACCATCCATTTCAGAAACAAGAGGCAGCCCAGGATATCTGGTTTAATCTATTCTCTCTAGACTGTCAATCTTTTCATCAGGTTCAGTACCTTAAAAGGCAAACAGAAAAAGATAATGGCGAACTAAAAGGGACTACAATTTTGTAGAGTTGACTAAAGGTACGGTTTTAGCACAATCCAAAAAAAATTTCTTTTTATTTTTAATCACACATTCCTTAAACGTGCCCTCAGATTTGTGATGTAAAGAATATCTACAATGTCATCATTATGTTCTAATTGGTTGCTTAGCAACTTGTAGAAAAGATTTTCCAGTTCGTATTAAAGATTTTGGTACAATGAACTATATTGGATGACACATCACAAATTTTGAATAGCTAGATATTTGGAACCTTGCTACACTTACATAGAGAGGGGTAGGGTGGGTTGGCTCCTAGATACTCACAATTTTGGAGGGGGTGGGTATTTTTTTTCATTTTTTAATTTAGTGGATCCCACACATTTGTGAATATTGATAAAAAAATACAGAAGAAACAGTTCTGTACAAGCAGGAAAACCCAGATATTTGACACCGAATATGGTAAGATTGAATAGATTGGATGATTCGTGTAAATTTATAAGTTGGAGCAACTCCTCGTGGTGCACTTTAGAAAGAACTATTATATAATTTTGTCGAGTCCACTCCAGTACAATATATAACTGGAACTAAGCAGTGATCATCATTTGACCAACATACTCTCCAAGGTTATGGTGATTTAAACCAGTTCGCTGGTTAATAATTGAGAGGCTCTTGAAACAGTTGGGAGTTTAAATTAAAAATAGGGCAACGATGTGGTTTTTGATTGATTATTCCTAGAAGTCCACATCCCTTTTTATTGACTTAAATGCTTCCATTTTTCTCAAAGGGGGTGCCTGTCTCACAGGACCAACACGCATTCTCAAGGTTTGGGAGACTGCATACCAATATTTATTTTATAAATTATGCTAAGCTTATATTTTACTGATTACATCTTGTTTGACGTTGTGTGAAAGTTTAAAAAGTGTTGTACAAGAAAATGTGTGTTTTTTTTAAACTGTTCAATCACATGTCATCACGTAACACAATGTCAAACATAATGTAAAGGTAGGGGTGCAGTGGTGCATAGTTTAGTGGTGCAAAGGACATGAGTAAAGTAATCTTAGTTGAGCTGGCAGTCGCAATGTGAGGGTTCAATTCCTGTATGAAATTGGACTCTTTGTTAGCATCAATATGATAGCTCTTGTACCATGGCTTATTGAAGCACATCCCGCGATTTACTTCCTTCACAATGCTCTAGGAGTGAGGCGTTGAGAGGCCCCCGAGATTGAGATTCAACTTTTTTTTTTTTAATGTAGAAAGATGTACTTGTAGCATGATTTTTATTTTATTACAAAAATAAAGTATTTTGGTACTTAATTGCAGGCACTTGACCAAAAAAAGAAAGAAAGTACACAAATGGGCATGAAACCATCATTATATCGGACACCCATGTTATAGCTGCAACCGTACAATTACAAATAAAACGTGACATCTGGCGGTGTGATGGATTTATGGAGAAAAAAAAAGGCAAAATGTAATAATGTGCGGGAGCTAAATCCACACGATAATCATAAGTGATTATTGTATAAGCGAAAAATTTACAGAGAGGAAATCTATCACTGTGTTCTTTCTTGTTAGAAAAAACTTATTCAGTCATTTCTTACGGTTAGATTCAATCTTTCGATCTTTGCGAAAAGGGAAAAAATCACACTCTTACCTTCGGGGAGTGGAGAATTACAGAAATCTCCTTTATTGTAACTTTCTCCATACATTCGAGAAAATCATGAAAAAACAGCTTGAACAGTACGTCACTCCGTCACCCTGTCTTACTTGTACTATAGTTATTTGTCTATCATTAATTTTCTTAATTTATTATTTCCTAGTATTGAAGGACAAAGTCTCTATCTTTATGGATTTAAAAGCTTACGTTTTACGTCAAATCAAGTATGTAATACTTTCTCAGTCAATCTTACTGTAAGATGTACGTCTTACTTGATCATAACACCTAGCATTGACTAAACTATATCCTTCCCTTTGTCTTATCCTATATTTGATTATGTATGTACAAATCTCCATGATATGTGAGAGAGTTCGACTAATGAAACCTTTGCCCTTATCCATTTATAAAAAATGTGAATGCTGAAGGTATCCAATCATAGAATAAAGTTGAGATCGCATACGAAGGGGACACACCATTAAGGTGCAAAAATCACTGATCGAGAAAATGTTCGAAGATCTTTTGCACTTCAATAGTCAAGTCAACGATTGAACGAGAGAGAATGAGGACAAAAGATGGGTGAGGAGAATTTGACCAGAGTTAGAATATATTACCTCGAGTGAAATGAATTCACACGAGCGCGCATACACACATAGAGATGAGAAAAGAATCAAGTAGAGCTACTGGATCGAGCCAAAGCCCAAAACGAGGTTACTTGATTCGATTGACTCAATCCAATTGACATAGTCGATATTGAGTTGGTCAATGTAGGATCCCTTTTGTCATGTGTATGTAACGTAATTTATAGATATAATTGTCCATCAAATTTGAGTCGTTCATTTATATGTGGGTCGAACCTTAAGATATAAATTGTCAATTAGGTGAGAGTTTATGAATTGCCTCGAAAATATGGGCTATTGTCATAGATGCATACTTATAAATAGTCTTCAAGATATGAGAACTTATAAATAGTCTTTGAAATATGAGCTGCTCTAATAAGTGAGGTTTTACGAATTGTCTTTGAAATTTTGGGATGGGCTTGAATTTTCTCGAAGAGACAAAGCTTCATAACTAGCATCGAAAGATGTAAGCTTACGAACCAACCTCGAAGAGATGAGGCTTCACGACTAGCACGGGGAGATAGCTATCACACTTATGATTTCCCAAAAAACGTTGCAACATCTACTATGTAATGTGGACTACACTAACCTAAAATACAACACAATATCTCCATTGCACATACGTAAAATAAATTTGTGGCCCATTTGACCCATCCAAGTACTCATGATGATAACGTAAAATAATTATAAGATCTGAACAAAATGAAGAACAAACCAATATTCAATTAATCCTTGAAGGAAAGTTCTTAACATAAATGGTGGTGATCTCCATCATTTATAGATGGAGAGAAAAGGAGAAAATAACAGAAAGAAAGAAAATAAACGTGAGGAGAAAAACGTAAAAAGTGTCAACACGCTTTTATCCATTTATTCCTAGAACTGGACCTAGAACTGGACTTCATAACTAGGCTGGGCTTCAGTTGCATTATTTAAGAACCCGGTACTCTCCATCAACTTCCGGTACTTTCATGATCTTCCGGTACTCTCATTCCTTCATCCCCCCCTCAAGGTGGAGGTTGGTGTAAATCACCCAACCCCAACTTGGAAAGAAGACGGTGGAACTGAGGGGCATCAAGTGATTTCGTGAAAATGTCCGCAAGCTGGGCATGAGAAGGAACATACTGGGGAAGAACAAAACCAGACTTATATAAATTCCGAATCAAGTGACAATCAATCTCCAAGTGTTTTGTGTGTTCGTGGAATACTGGGTTAGCGATAATATGTAAGGAAGCCATGTTATCACACCATAAAGAGATAGGGAGTGTATAAGGAACGTGGAGATCATCCAAGATATAAGTGATCCATTGCAACTCACAAACAGTGCTTCCCATACTACGGTATTCAGCTTCTGCCGAAGAACGAGAAACTGTAGTCTGCTTCTTGGTCTTCCAGGAGATAAGTGTTGAACCAAAAAACACATAATACCCAGTGAGAGATTTCCTAGAATCCAGGCAAGAAGCCCAGTCAGCATCAGCGTAAGCTTGCAAGCTGAGAGAGCACTTTGCAGGGAAGAAAAGTCCCTTAGAAGGACATCCCTTCAAATATTTGAGTAAATGCAAAGCAATCTCCCAATGTGATTCGCAGGGTGCTTTGACAAATTGGCTAAGTTGCTGTACTCCATAAGTAATGTCAGGCCTAGTCAAATTCAGGTAAAGGAGCCGCCCA